CTTCCAATACTCTTGACAACTATTGAAAATGTCACTTTTAATGACAGTTGTACAAAAATAGCTATTTCCTATTCAGTTTGTAATGCAAACATTCGTCGTAGAATTGATTCAGATATCATTCACAGGATTGCTACACAATATAGTATGAAAAAGGTGAAATTTCACTCAAACTGCCATACCGATGTTTCGGAATTGCCTTTTCAGTACCAATCTGGTACTGAAATATGCAATATGAAGCACTGGCTTCATTCATGAAAGTTATGACTTTATGTCACAGTTGAGTTAAATCTTACATCATCGATGACAGAACGTAATGCCATTCATTCGATTATTTGATTCAATCCCAGCCGTAGGAATCTTCTTTAAATTGAAAGGGGTATATTTTTCAAAAGGGATAATTTGTTGGGAAAGGAAGGTTTTCACTTCTCAGTTTTTTTATAAAGACAGAGAAGTAGAGACCCAACACTTTTTTTTCTCTAAATAAATACTATTTCTCTTTTCACGAAAGCTGTGTGAAGGATATGTTTTCAGTATAACTAATAATGTTGATACATTTCAGCACTGACAATTATTGTCAAGCAATCCAACATCCCATTACTTTGACTTAATCAATTTCGATATTGTGGAGAATTGAATTTCCTACAACTCCCGTTCCAAACATTTTTTATACGTTGAATCGTTTGCAAAATAGAGGGCGGAGAGCGCGCGGTTAGGGCATCATTTAAGGTCAACCGGTAGTCCCGGTCAAGAACACGCCATATAAAGTTTATTAATGCGCTCTCCGCCTTCCATTTCGAAAACGATTGAACGTTTAAAAAAATTCAAAAAAAAAGTTGTAGTGAATTATTTCCTCTACAGTATTTATAATGAATACAAATAGCGAAAAACCCATAGAAAACGGTATATTTAAAAAATGTTCACAAAAAATCGATTACTGTCACCTTTGAGCTTGGATTTTGATACTCGCGTACACTCTACCATATACAGTGTGTTTCAAATTCGATCGTCACTATTGGGATCTCGGAAACTATGAGAGATACGAAGATGGTTAAATTGGGAAAAAGTTGCGCATTTACCTGACTAACAATTTGCCGATGAGAAAGTTCTGAAATTCCGAGTATAACCGGAGATATCCGGAAAAAACAGAAATTTCAGAAANAATGTCACTGAATGTAACAAATTGAAATTCAAATTTAGGAAAATCAAAATCAAAGCCTATTATGATAGAAATTAATTTTTTTCAATACGTCCAATTTTTCTAAAAAGAATTATAACTTATGGCACATCATTGAAAAGGTAAAATCTGGTTCTATTCGCAACATAAAGAATCCAATGTAGCGCCCATAAGAAAAAATAAAGTTGACGATGGTGACCGGAAGACGAAACGTCGGATTGCAAATCTGAAAACACTATTATGTTGCAGTGAAAAAGTGGCAACGTGGAAGTGCCATTCATTTTCGAATCCTTCGGAAAATAAAGCCAGAAAAAAATAAAAACCAGTTTCCGAAATTTCTGTTTCTTCCGGATATAGGTACTGGGAATTTCAGAACTTCCTCAAAGGCATATTGTTAGTCAGGTTATTGCGCAACTTTGCTCCAATTTAACGATCTTCGTATTTCTCATAGTTTCCGAGATCCCAATGGTGAGGATCGAATTTGAAACACCCTGTATAAGTTTCGCGACAATTTTGAGGATGTCAGAATACAAGTTTAGACGAGTTTATAGCTGGGTATCTCAAATTCCGAGGTAAACTTACTAAGATGACTGGACTAGAATGGCAATATGAGTGAGTATCTGAGTGAAGCAACGTGTGGCACGGCTGTAACTTTAATTAGTTCTTGAGCAAACTTTAAATGCAATATACTCGGCTACGATAGAATTCGGCAAAATGTGAAGAAAAAACATTTTGAATGTTTTTAAATTGGATGCTGATGACAGAAATCAAGTCGCAGCGTGGGCTACAGTGAATAATGAAAATAATAGCTCTCACTTTTCGGAAAAGGCTTCATTGTCTCACATTAGTGTCGATTAATATTATATAGGGTGTCAAACAAAACATAGCCTCTCGATTAACAATTGATGATTAACAATTTTACTTTGCTTACTTTCTACTTAGGTTATCAAATGTTCAAACTGGTGACTACTTGCGTCCATACAATAAAACATAGTTTGTGCATATAATATGTAGGTATATTCGTAGGAAGTTTCTTTTGGCAAATCATAAAATGTCACTAGTTGTGTACTATAGATTTTATTTCTGGAGTGACATTCAACGAAGGCCACCAATAGTGAAATTTTGAGAACTCAGAGTCTTTGAAATATTTGAAACACAAAAGTTGTGAATGAACATTTGAACAAATACAAATTTTCAATTGTAAGTATTCACCAAAGAGTTAAGCAGATTTTGCGCGTTCTCCTAAAATTTTACCACAGTTCCTGATACTAGAATATTCAAAGATAATGATCCACCGTGTATAAAATCTTTTTCAATGATCCGTGTAGAATTTTACTCATCATATTGTTAAAAGAAAAGCATCAATTATAATGATGATTCAAACATATGTCTATTAGTGATTTATTTTCGACTGAATATGCATTTGGCATAAAGCCATCAAGATCAACTCAATTGCAATGACGGTCAAGGTTTTGTTTTCAATTTGTCGACTCATTACCAGCCTACACACATTTTTTGAAACTCACTTCTGTATCCAAGCGATTAATACCTTTAGATTACTTACCTATTCAGAGATAGATACTTCTACCAATCACTAAATTTCCGAAAAAACTGACATTCATATGAAAGATATAGAAAAAAAATGAGAACAATAACAATGTTATTTTTTCGAATAAAGTATAATGTGTTACTACTTGGTAGGAAATCATAATGAAGAAAAGAGAATTGAAACTTTCTATGTTTTTACCACTTTTTCTTGTAACTATGTAAGTATATTTTCAAACTTATACATTAATGTATAAGTATGATGTATAAGTTTGAAAATGTCCTTATACATTAATGTATAAGTTTGAAAATTTCCTTATACGACGAAACTACAGTAGAGTTAATTACAAATAAAAATGGTTAAAAACATAGAAAGTTTCAATTATCTTTTCTTCAGTATAATGTGTACTTTTTATCAGTCCTGGTATCTAATGTTATCTGACTGAACAACTTGACGTTGATTGAGATTTCTTGTACAGCTTGGCAAATTTAGCTGTGCCTCTGAACATTCGATGGGCAGTAGATCAGCCGGTGGAGTGGGACGATAGATCCTTAACATCGAGGAACTCGTGTAGCGAACAACGTGTTACTACAGTAAGTAGAGAAATTATTCTGTGGTGAACTGTGAGTTATTTAGTGTCTTTGAAAATTCCTCCGAGCAGTGAACTGAAAGAAAAGGTTCTCAGTGGAAATTCATAAACCTATCATTCGAAATATTGACTATCAGGGTAGCAGCGAATAAAAAACTTGGCAGAATGTATAAAATGAAAGGAAACTATTGAAGGATTGTTAGCCTATTTCGACTACTCAGGATATAATTTTTTAAGGAAATGCGGACCTATAGAGAAGAATGTCGACCTATTATTTATATGGATGAAACATATATTCACGCTATATAGACGCATCCAAAAGGTTGGAGTGATCATACCATGGAAGGTCTGAAAAGTGTTAGTGAAGGTCAACCCATAATACATGCGGGGGGCGAAAATAGGTTTGTGCCTAATGCTTACATAAGATGGAAATCAAATTGTGATAGAGGTAATTATTACAAAGAGATGAATTTTGATTAATTTAGAAAATGGGCGTTGAAACAGTTGACTCCGACTTTGCCTTCAAAAAGCATTGTGGTGATCGAACCATGTCAACAATATCGAACAAAAAAGCCGACATGCAATCATGCGGCTGTCATCAGACAGGAATATTCCATTTGGGAAAAAATATGCAGAAACCTGAACCTCATAAACAATTACGGTATGAAATAGATCAGCTCTTTCTAACAGCAAATCACAATGATGTACGTTCACCGCCATATTACCCGGATTTGAATCCAATTGAATTGGTTTAGGAGGGATTGAGATATCAAGTGGCAAATGAAAATGTTACTTTCAAATTCAACGATACTACGATTTTTTTTAACAGTTTTTTCCGAGCAATGGAGAGCTCGTTGTGAACGAGCAAATAAATTTGAGGACGATTTCATGTGAAATAAAGATAGACAACATCGTGGATGATCTGATTATAAATTTACATGATGAGGATAGCGACACAGCATCGGAACTGGAATATGGGAATGATGTTTCAGAGGATGAAGATAGTAGATAATTTATCCGGAATTGAATCAATTTCTGACAAAAACCATTTTTAAACAGTAGACGAAAAATCATATACTCATCACTCAATATCTTTCCGTTGTTTTCCACCTGCACAAATTGGGACTTCCTTTCCTGGTATATGTGTAGTTGTCAACACTTATTTATTTATAATATTCGTTGTTTTTTCCACCTTGTTTGCGAATTTCATCATCGGAAGTTATTGTTTTGTCAATCTGATAAAGCAAAATTTGAACAAATTTCATCAGTTTTATGATAAAGTAAACAGAAACATGAAATTAAAATACGAACGTTTCAAATATCTTCATTTTAAGATATTTTCAGTAATTGGGCAAATACCTTTTCTTTTAGTTGTTGACTGAGTTTTTGTTAGTAATCAAGAAACTATTGATATTTGCGAAGAATTTGAACTGAACGCTGTTTACCAAAACCTCCAAGAAGTGGAGTTTCTGATCCAGAGTAATCTTTCGTGAAATGAATCCACATAAACTCAGTCTAATTAAAACAATTTCTTCTATAACAATATAATCATATTTATTTGCTACTTCTACTATCATGAGTACGATCAAATAAAATTTTGTCAAGAAAAACTTCAATTGAAAAATTATTCTGGAAGCAGTTGTTTTGAGGTATGAGTCCTCTACATTCATATCATTATAACTAATACAAACTTTCATTAAGACATTAATATATATCTTTTTAGTATTTTTATTAACACTTGATACGTAAAAACAGATATCAAAAGCTCGAATTGGAAGTCAGAGAGTAATATTCAGTCGTTGTGTGCTACAGAAGTAGAATATGGACCGGCTTGCTTCAATGCAAACGCTATTCCTCTACTGGAAGAATTATTTTTTGGAGGTGATGGAGGTATCACCTTCGGGACAAAAATGTATCCAAAAATACAGGCTATATGCAAGCACCAGAACATCTGGTTGTATAAAGCAATACTTGGCCAAAACTCCAGAAGAACAAATGGGAAAGTGATGTACGCTAACACGAAATGAGTCACAGCAAAAGTTATAAGGTCATATAAAAATTTTGTTTCTCGACTTTCTGTGAAATGGTTTCTCACATGTCTCCTTACAACTCTGGAAGTGAATGTAAACATTGCCCCACTGAAAAAAGTCAAATAATATCCAGGGTAAAATCCGTGCCAGATTGCAGAAAGAGCATAAGTTAATATAGTAGCATATTTTTTAGTTCTATCATAAACCAACATCCTCAACCAAGTATTCGTTCCCTTATTCCAGGCTTCAATACTTTCTTTCAAACTTGTAGCGAATTCGAACCTGAATATATCGACATTGGAGATTTTATCCCATCTTGCTGATCCATTCTCAGCATATCCAGAAAACCCTATGCCACAGTTATTACAAATAGCATCAGCTATAGTCCATGCAAAATAATACTTGAATCTCACTAATGTTGTACTAACAGTCAGGTACCAAAATTTGTAACTCACACTGGTATTGATTAGGAAATTTTCCTCTTTTACTTTTCTTATTGGGAATATCGGAAGGAACTTGACAAAAACAATAGCACACACTAACGCCAACGAAACTTTTTGGCAAATTATTTTCACTGGACTAGGCTCATGAACGATCACTGGAGCAGATTTTGAGCTGCCCTGTACTTTGGAGTAGTTTTTACCTTCAATAAAGTCGATGTAGTCGTTGAAGAATATTACAGGACCTGCCATTAATGATGGAAACATTAACGTATAGCTGAAATATTCAATAGCACTGGGAGTCTTATACACAGCATGATATTTCTGATTATTTGTCATCTCTTCTTCTTTCTTCGTCAGGCCGTCGTGCAAACTGAAAGCTAATGAGGTCACTTTTTGAGTTATTACCATAAGTGGCCCGCTTATGTCCAACCCGTACGATCCATAATCATAAACTTGTCTGTGCAAATGAAGACAGGAGAGGTATATTAAGGCCACTATGAGCACCATTCCATGCATGACATGAGCATTCTGAGTGATAATTACCACATAACATACTGCGGGAAGACCAGCCAGGTGAATTGCTTGAAATCCGAAACAGAAATATCCAATCAACATTCCAAAAACCAATCCAAATGCGTGCCGCACCGCTGTACTTGTTCTCGAGGGGTGTAACACTGTCCGGTAAAGCGTTGCCAACCCCAAAGCAACAAGTTGACTCATTATAAAGTTGAACTGATCTGTCGCCAGCCCGGTATATTGGGCTAGGCCAGCAAAAAGCTGGCTCCCGTCGTACTGTTCACTATTCACAATCATTTTCACGCTGACATTTAGAACAAATCGTCTCAGCTGCACTGACAACTGCGGTTCGTAAACACTGAAATATTCGAAGCGGTGTGGTATGATTTCATGCAATTTTCATACGTCCATAACGCCGTCTCTCTCTGACCCAACTGAGGCTAAGATGTGGAAGATGTACGTGACGCTGACCTGGTGTCTCCCTCTCTTACTGCAACCACGAACCTAGTTAGACACGCCTAGTGAAAAGAATTCGGGGTCTGGAAACTATAAGAATATGACACGTAATGCGCTTGTGTTGCAGTTGACTATTAGGAAATCAATTTTTATAACAGTGCAATTACGGTTTATATTTGCGTGATATATTTTTGAGAAGCAGTCATTTACAGATGATTTGGAAGGAGTTGTTAAAATAAATTAGTATAACGGTGTTTTAAATCATTTGTGATTTTATCAAGAACTTGGTCAAATTTCTCAAGAACTAGAGGAACTAACATTACATCCAAAAAACGCAACGGTGGCTAGAAATCTGCCTCCGTAGAAGAAGCATATATCGAAAATAGTTTGAATAACAAAATTGAGAATTATTTATTTATTTAGCGAGCGTATTCTTCACAAAACGATAAAAAGAAACTATACTGTGAAATGAAAATTAAAAATGTAAACAATACTGTGTAGATATTGTTTACATTTTAACACATAAATATAATGTATAATATATAGCAAAACCACTTGGGGGTGGTACTTGATAAAAATAGCGGTACTTTCTTGGTTTTTCTTCATTTTGTTTTCAATCGAGGACCGCCTGCCCGGTACTGACGATGCCCAATAGGCTGAAACAGCTTCTGTCGATAACTCACCACCGGCAGCTGTTGTTCAGCGACTTGTGGAGCCAATTCGATACTCCAGGAGAAATTTGACCTGCGATAATTGTTTCTCTAGTGTACCACTCGTGCGTACTCTATTATCCGATTACACTATCACATTTTTGGGAACCATTAGGAAAAATAAGAGAGAACTTCCCTCAGAATTTTCTAATCCAACAGGAAGAACAATAGGCTCAAGTATGTTTGGCTTCGATAAAAAATATGACCATTGTTTCTTATATACCGAAGAGAAATAGAAACGTCTTACTTACATCAAGTCCTCACTATGATGATAAAATGTGTGCTGCATACAACTGTGCGAGGAATACTCGTTGATGGCCGATGTTCATTTCTTATTCTTTATTGAATATAGCTGGGGTTAACACCATGGTGCTATACCATTTACAGAATCAAGATGAAAAAGTGCCGCGGGGCAAGTTTTTACATATGCTTTCATCAGAACTTGCAGAAAACTATCTACGTATACGGGCAATGCAAACAAATATTCCCAAAACTATATATCTGAGAATAAAAGAAATATTAGATATTGGGACTCCAGAACCTGGTCAACTGCAATTAAATATTCGAGGAAGGCGCCACTATTGTGATAGGAAGAAAAACCGTTCAACAAGATTTTCATGTCGATCATGTAATAAGTTTATGTGTTTAGAACATATAATTTGTGTTTGTTCAGATTTCTATGAACAATCACTTTTTGTATCACTTTTCTAAATTCATCATCAAATCCCTGTTAGAATGAGGTATTTGTTTCAAATTAACCAAATAAAGATTTCTTTGAAAGATTTTTGTGTTATTTTAATAATATACAGAAAAAATCTAACCTAGATGGGATATTTCAGCATGCGGAGTCCGCAGCTAGTAACGGTTTGTAAGATATGAGCGCCAGTAATGAAAGGTTGTATCCGGTTCGGAGACATTTATCATTTTTGAGTAAAGCGATGCCCGGGTTTTTGTGACATTGAATCGAACTTGGTTACTCTCACCTCAATTCAAAATTACTTCTAGATCCTCATTAAGATATTCAACCTCATGCTGCCGGTGAAGATGTGCATCCACAGCCGATGACCTGGAATCCAAATGTAATGACAAGACAAGTGTGCTGTCGTTGGCAAAGCAATCTATTGGATTCTTGGTTTTTTCCAATAAGTCGTTGATGTACAGTAAAAAATAGGGTTGAAGTCAATATGGATCCCTGGGGAACACAGAGTTGATGGTGCAGGAAACGTTTATGATCCGATGAGCCATAGCATCGAAGTTTGGCCAGCAAAACCTCATGCCACTCACAGTCAAAGGCCTTAGAAATATCAAGCGCAACAGCTATTGACTCGCCATGTTTCTCGATTGCGTTATTTCAAATATGGGTGACATACGATAGAAAAACACCAACTGCTTCGAGTGCATGTTGAAAAAATATACCCGCAATGTAAATGTGCAACAGCAGTAACTATACATGAGTTACAATTAATTTACATCAGGATCAATTAGAATGCCAATTCAAATTAGTTACTGAAACTTTTATTCTCGTTTTATAAACTCATTACTCGGAAAATGTTGATTTTGTTTTTAAGTTTTTCCAAATCTTCCATGTTGTAAGTGTTCGTTTTTTCAAAGAAGTAGATATTTGTAATCCAATATCGATAGTGTGTAAAAGCTGGGAATGAATCACAAAATTTAAAGGAAACATCAACCATCATTGCAATTATTTTGATATCAATATAACTGCAATAAAATATTTAAATATATAAAAGACATATCCATATCATAATTTTCACTAATGCTTTCTTTTTGACAACATAATAGTCAGTAAAGTTGAATGGAGCATTGGAACACAATCAAAATATTATTTTAATGGATGAAAGATATATTCACGCAACACACACGAACACACTGATCATAATACATGAGGGTGGTGAAAATGGGTTGGTGCCTAAAGCTTACATTAGATGTGAATCAAATTGTAATACAGCTGATTATCACATCAATGAGATGAATTTTGATGATTATGAGTAATGGGTGTCGGGACAGTTAATTCCAAATTTGCCATTGCGTTGTAGTTGAACAAATCGACAAAATGCCAACGACATAAACCGAATAAACTGATATGCCAGCATAGTTATCAGAGAGTAATATTCCATATGTAGAAACCATGCTGAATTATATGCCCTCAAATGCCAAAATTCAAGAGTTATGAAATAGATCACCTCTTTCTAGCAGCAAATCACAACGGTGTACGTTCACCGTCATATCAGCCGGATTTGAATCCAATTGAGTTGGTTTGGGCTGCACTGGAAGAAAACATGGCAAATGAAATGTTACTTTCCATTCCAACGAAGTCATGCAATTTTGCGACGACTTTCTTAACAGCTTTCTTCCGAGCAATGGAAATCTCGTTGTGAATGACAAAAGCAATTTGAGGATGATTTCCTATCGATTGAATCCGTGATATACATCATCGTGGATGATCTGCTTATTGATTTAGATGACGGGGATAGCGACACTGCATCGGAACAAAAATATGGGGATGACTTGAAAAGGATACATTTTTAGGAGAGATTATTATTTGGGAAGGATGTATGTTTAAGGTGAGTTAGACATTGTGTCCTGTTCAACAAAAATTAATAATTTTCAGATAAACGTGAACCCGGGGAAATCTACACGTCAAATTTCCTCGGAAATGAATATTTGTCATACAAGTGCTTGGAGACATCTCAAAAAACGCGGTTTAAAATGTTACAAAATACACATTACTCAAAAATTTAATCCAGGTGATCCCGAAAGGTGATTAGAGTTTTGTAATTGGCTAATAAGAAGACCTGATTTTCCTGTTTTCCTGGAAAATGTTATTTGGTGATGATGAAATCACTTTTACGAATTGTGGGATATTCAACCGAAAATACGAACACATTTGGAGCATAAACAACGCCAGGCATTATCGAGAAATTCGACCTCAAGTGCGATTTAATATTAACGTGTGGGCAAGAATTCACAAAGATAGAAATTTGGGTCCTCATCTCAAAGAATTCTGGATGGAGAAACCTATCACCTGTTTTTAATGTCGATTTTCGAAAACTATTTGAATGATCTACCTTTGGCTAATTATAACAACATCTGGTTTCAACATGATGGTACTCAACTGCACACTACCAGACGAGTATCTGATTACCTGACTGAAAGGTTTGGTGATAAATGGATAGGGAATAATGGATCGGTGAGGTGGCCAGCAAGGTCTCCAGACTTAAGTGTTATAGATAAATTCTTATGAGGTACATTGAAAAATAGAGTTTATGATCAGAGGAAATATCAAAATATTGAGGACCTTCAACACAGCATTGTTAGAGTGTTCGGAAGTTTGGGGAGGAGGAAAATTAATCGTGCATTGAATAATATACGAAGAAGGGCACAGTTGTGTTATCATGAATAAGGCCAGCATTTTGAGCATTTGCTGCGATTAACTTTCGTCTTTACGTTTTAGTTAATTATTGCTATTTGTTCAAAGTTATTTTTTCATTGAAAAGGACACAATGTATAATTTACCTCATACACAGCTCATTTATCAAATTTTGATTCAGAATAGTCAAAGTCAAAGCCTATTATGATAACAATACATTTTTTTTCAATATAACTTATAATACATCATTGAAAAGTAAAATCTAGTTCTATTCAAAACAGAAAGAATCCAATGTAGTGCCCTTAGAAAAAATAAATGATGAACTTTCTCAACGGCATATTGTTAGTCAGGTAAATATGCAACTTTGCCCTAATTCAATCATCTTCGTATCTCTCATACTTTCCGAGATCCTAATGGTGAGGATCGATTTGATACACCCTGTATGTGTAGTTGTCAACACTTGCCGAATTTATTAAAGCCAAAATTATTTTTCCGAGTATACTTCCTGATAAAAGTTACCTAGTAGATAGTGGATAGTTACCATTTCTCTTTATCGTTCTCAGAGGCCCAGCTAGATTTGCCAAGTTTCACGGTTGATTGCATTGTTTTGCTTGGGACTTCTTTCGGCTCAATTCTCGGGGTGTCCTTCATTCAAGAAATAAAAGAGAAGACATTTAGGTGAGTTCAAACTGAGTGGATATGAGTTTCTCGAAGATCTGAGACGAAGAAGAAAAAAAGCTGTGTCTATAGATCTTAACTACGGAAACACACAACATATTGCCAAATGGCCTGATATTTCAAGCTTCAATCGGATGTATATTATGATGAATCACACTCCAAAAGGTACGACCTCGTTAGTCCTTAGCTGGCACAAGTTTTGACTTCTGAGGGTTGTCGTTCGTAGGGGTATGATAGCTGATTAACGGAAAAAACATATTTCAAAAATGATAAAAAAGTTACAAACAATTTTACGGTCAAAATTCTGATAATTTTTGAAATTCGAATGGAAATTTGTTCCAATTTTTTTGATATGTGATTTTTTATACTCAATGTTGAGTTGTTTTGACATTGGTTGAATCATCCAATGAAAAGTGTGTTTTTGAAATTGTGTTGGTGACGTAATAAATAAGAGAGCTGGAGAAATTGGAATTGACATACTTCAGAAGTTCAGTTTCAGCTCGTGCATGAAGATTCAAAAATTGATTCGCTTCACTCCGGAATCTAGAACGCAAGCAGTATTTTGAGTTTATGAATTCAATCCTCCGCATATTTCGAATGTCATATTCCATCTCATTTTTCATAATTCCGCAAGAGAAATGATTTTGTACGTGAAAATCCGAAACATCCTGTATTTAAAAAGACAACAAATACAATATTTTATTCTAAAAGATTTTCAAATCCAGTAGTGACGACTTTTAGAAACGTTTGAAATGAAATTACAAACGAAATAATGAACATAATCTAATATCGAATATGGTAATACCCAACTTATCATCAATAATTTTGGTTTCAGTTCCTGAAAAAAACCTGGAGCTACGGCAAGAATACATTGGGAGCAAAATGTTTCAAGTTATGTGCCGCGCAGAAGGAGTATTCCCAGAACCTAGCATGAGTTTGCATATTGGCCAAAGGTAAGTTGACATGTTGTGATAGGTATTTATACTGTGTGTGAAAACGAAAACTTAACAGAGCCGTTTTTGAACATAAAAAGTAAGATTTTTAAAAAAAGCTCGGACACGTCGATTTCTAATTAAAGAGGGACACCTTTCAGACTAATCAGATTTTTTGTAGTACGCACCCCTTCGGAGGGGTGCGTCCGACGACCCTTATTTAGATAGGGAGAGTAGGTCGAGTGGCACCTTGTTTTAAAGGTCTTTCGAATACCTTTACATCTCTCTTAAAAGAAAAATTTTGTAACGATTAGTTTTCGAGATAATTTGAAGATTTAAAGGTATTTTTATTGAGTTCAACTCTTTTTAAAATAAATCAAATTGTTTTCAAGGTACAATTTACGTTCAGAACTTTCATAAAAAAAATAAATTTTTGCTTTTTATGAAAACCTGCTAATACGTGTCCATTTGATTTCGTAATAAAGTAAAATTATTTGTTTGTTACGAGAAGATGTTTTCGGGGGAAGGGGTTGGTTACCACCCTTACATTTTAGGTGAATTGAGTGGCACCTCCTTATGAAGGTTGCCTTTTGACGTGGATATTTTATGCTTCTGATAAAAAAGTGAATCATACTAAAAACTTACCTACACAACGAATACAACCTGCTGATTTCCTTGAATGCTGATGACACAGAAAAGTTTAAAAAACTGTTTTAGGGTTAATAAATCCCAATAATTGTTTTTAAAGCACGCACAAAAAAAGTAACACCTAATAAGGGTAACTCACATAGGAAATTTACAGTTAATGTTCAAAATGTGCGCCATTTTGCTCCATGCAACAATAAAGATTTCGTTCGAATTTTGCTCTTACATTATTCGACATCTCAGGCTCGGCATTCATCAATAATTCTACGACGAAATTCATCCAAATTGGCTGGCTGTGTAGCATAAACTTCAGACTTTAAATATCCCCACCAAAAGTAGTCCAGTGGTGTTGAATCTGGTGATCGTGCTGGCCATTCAATTGGACCTCTTCTGCCAATCCATTGTCCTTCAAAATGATTATTCAAAAAATTTCGAACCTGCTGGCCATAATTAGGTGGTGCACCGTCTTGTTGAAAATGGATAAATTAATCTTGACATCTTGGATCCTGTTCAATTATTTCAACTATACGAGGTTGTATTGACTTTTCAAGAAGTTGTAAATAAGAAACACTGGTTAAATTTCCATCAATGAAAAATGGACCTATAATATGATTGCCTAATATTCCGGCCCAGATATTCAACTTTTGGGGATATTGGGTATGTATTTCTGCGTATTGTCTTGGGTTTTCATCCGACCAATAACGGCAATTGTGACGGTTCATGCAACCATTTAAATAAAATGAGCTTTCATCCGAAAAACAGATGTTGTAAAGCAGCTCGGGATTTTGCATTAATCTCTCACTCATGCCCTCACAAAACTCCTGTCTTCGGTCAAAATCATCCTAATTGAGTTCATGAACAAGTTTAATTTTGTAAGGATGGAATTTGTGGTTTTTAAGGATTCTCCATGCACTCATATGGCTTATTCCGGCCATTGCTGATAAACCTCTGGTACATAACCTGGGATTGGCGATGACTTGATCAATCACTCCAGTCGCATTATCGTCATTCACTACCTTTCTCTGAACATTTCTTTTCTTATTTAAAACCGAACCTGTCCCCTTGAATTTTGTAATTTTGTAACAGAGTTGTAAAGGTATTCGAAAGACCTTTAAAACAAGGTGCCACTCGACCTACTTTCCCTGTCTAAATAAGAGTCGTCGGACGCACCCCTCCGAGGGGGTACGTACTACAAAAAATCTGATTAGTCTGAAAGGTGTCCCCTTTCAATTAGAAATCGACGTGTTCGATCTTTTTTCAAAAATCTTACTTTTCATATTCAAAAACGGCTCTGTTAAGTTTTCATTGTTACACACTGTATTTTATTCATAACGAATCCATGAGTTCATGAGTTTCGTCAATGGCTCATTGTATCGAATTTCATAAGTTCGTACTGCAGAGCCCTAAGAGAGTCTTGATGATTCCTCTTTTTGTCGATTGTTGGTGGTTGGATTCGTGGTTCAGATACTGTCCTGTGTGAGTGGATTTTTGTTATACATATGTTTCCCACTTGGTGTCGGTCCTCTTTACCAATACGTCTAAGAATGGCAATTTGTTGTGGACTTCCTTCTCCATTGTGAAAGTAATGGAAGGTCTTACGCTGTTGATGTGTTTCAGGAAAGCGTCTAGTTCAGTATTCCCATGATTCTATATTATGAAGGCATCATCAACGTATCTCAACTAGACACGAGGTTTCTTGTGGGCTTCTTCAATGGACAGAGTTTCAAATCACCCTATATATTTGTTGGCTTTGACTGGTGAAAGTGGCGATCCCATTGGCAGTCCCTCATCTTCTGTAAATAATTCGTCTTTCAGTTGGAAATAACAGTTTTCGTACACAGCATCTTAGTAATTCCATAATTACTTCGATAGGTAAATTTTTTCCATCTTCTAGGTCTCCGTTTGTATGATTGAGAGTGCTTCTTCGACCAGAACGTTGGTGTAAAGGCTTTCCACGTCGAAAATGATGAGTTGATGCCACTAGTAGTTCGACAAATTGCCTTGAATTCTTCACACAAGATGATGTTTTTTCTTTGTAATGGTTGTTTAATGGGGAGTAAAAATCTAGACAAGTTTTGAGTAGCCAAATCTCTGGAGCTAATGATCGGTCTGAGCGAAACGTCCTTCTTGTGGATTTTGGGTAGTCTATACAAGTGAGGGGCTTACTGTGGTACGGTGTAAGCGATGATATCTCCTTTTCCGAAAAATAGACTGGTACAACTTCGTTTTAGATGATGCAGTAGGGTCCCGTACGATCTTCGTGTATTTTCCCTTCTGAAGAACCTCTTCGATGCTCTGTTCGTAGAGAACAGTATCCATCACCACAGTTGCGTTTCCTCAATCTGCAGGTAAACATTGTCAATCATCTGTAAACAAACGTTTATTGTATCGTTGAGATGCTGATCAAATAAACAAATTAGGCCCCTTTCAAATAAAAAAAAACGAAAAATTTACTTCATGTCTCAATACATATTGAGTTTTGTAGAAGTCCCTGTTTTGCTCAATTCTGTATGAGAACAAACATGAGATGAGTGGTTCCAGATAATTAACAACATCAATCGGTTAGCCTCGTTCCAGAAACGCTTTAATTATGTAATAAAAGAAGACTTTTGAAGTTGTTTGAGTTTATTGCTGCTTTATTTATCACTCACCTAATGAGACACTTACTGAGTGTACTAAAACGACTCTCTGTATTTCTCCTGAAGCTTTATTTGACATCAATTATTTCCAAAGGAAAATAATAAAGCCAAACGACTTCAGATTCATTACTACCAATATGTTTATTTGTTCCATGAATGATCGTTAAACGATTTCGCTCAGCTCGCAAACGTTATTTCAATCAGAACCTCATGAATCCCCAAAGCTATCATTCATGAAAATTAATTGGAAGAAGAATAAATAAAACTTGATGATAGCTTATGCATCTCAGACAATTTATATTCGATATTATTCAGATATGCTAAATCCTATGGAGTCTCTTTGCTCCTTTCGATTTCCAAAAATTCAGAAATGGCATTTTTAATCGAATTTCAAAAAATGACCGGCTCGAATAATTATTGTTCCACAACATTTTTGACCATTTATAAAATTCAGCAAACTGATCTGCAGAAGCTCCCCATTAGAAGCGTAAGAGGCATAAAATGTATGCGTTCAAACCCAAATTTTTACATACTTTGCACGAAGGAGACGAAATCCGCCGTATGGAGTATTGTTTATGGATGCAGGGAAATTATCTCAATGACAGGAATTTTTTAAAGTATATCTTATACAGTGATGAGGTTACCTTTACCACGAATGGTGTTGTATCTTCCCAGAACATGAGGTTTAGGGCTGAACAAATTGGGTCGTGAATTGTAGAGACCAAATATCTCAGAAAGTTGATGTGTGGTGTGGTATTCAAATGTCTAGACTCAAAGCTTTTATGTCCAAAGAATCTGATGCCTGGCTGAATGCTCTTCCCGTGGCTTCTTTGGGTACCCTCTTAGATGATGCATCTTTTAGGATTTCGATAGGTCTTCGGTTAGGTTCTTTAATTTGTGTTAGTCAAAAATGCAGATGTGGATCCACTGTAGAAGAAAATGGTTACCATGGCCTAAGTTGTAAATTTAGTTCTGGCAGATTGTCAAGACATCATTCCATTAATGATCTTATAAAAAGAGCTCTAGCCACTGCAGAGGTTCTTTCAGTTCTTGAACCCCTTGGTGTTAGTCGAGACGGGATGAGTCCAATTCCTTGGGAATTTGGGAAACCTCTGGTTTGGGATTTCACCTGCGTGGATACAGTTGCAGCTTCACACTTGGCCTCTACGTCTAATTCCACTGGTGCAGCTGCTATGATTGCAGAAAAATCAAAATTTCGGACATACTCCACTCCACTGTTTCTTTCCTGTTGCTATTGAAACCTTTGGTGTTTTTGGATCTCATGCTTATGAATTAATGAAAGAAATTGGTAGAAGAATGATGACAACCGAAGACAAGAAATTCAACTTCCTTATTTCGTTGGTCCCATAATGGGAAGAATCATTACATCCGTGATTACTGGAATGAAAACAGCGGTGGCGAACGTATCACCAACAGCTACAACACAATTGAATCAGTGATACATTCCTCAGTCAAAACCCTTGGGCTTAATGGTTTGAAAAATATTGGCAACACCTGTTTCATGAACAGTGCAATCCAATGTTTATCAAATACGAGATGGTCACTGGAATATTTGGAAAAGGATGAGTACATCTGTTTAAAATCTGTTTAAAATCTGTTTGAAATATGTTTTTCCGTTAATCAGCTGTTGCCCCCATACGAACAACAACTTTCAGAAGTTGAGAAACTTGTGCGAGCTAAGGATTAACGAGGTCTCACCTTTAAACGTGTGATTCC